GATTCAACCTAGGGGTGCTTTACCACTAAGCTACATCCCCAGACCTTTTTATTTTTTATTTTGAGACAAGATTTCACTAAGTTGTTGAGGCTAGTCTTGAGCTTGTGCCCATCTTGCCTCAGCCTCCTGAGTAACTGGGATTATAGGTATGTTACACAGGACCAGGCTACAGTTTAGATGTAATATTACAAATTCCTAGTGAAGAAAAAGGGTCTGTTTTATATCAAAATATAAATGATTCAATGTATGCATTGTATTTACATTTTTTAATGCAAGAACTTTTTTATTGAGAGCATTTTCCTTGTTACTAGACTTGCTGTTAATCTATAAACTTCCTCCTTTTGCTTGTGTCAGAAAAAAGGGTTCTAACTAATTCATGGAAGGTGATTAGTATAGTGCATATGGTCGAGGGGGAGCTCAAGAATGCCAGCAACTATCTGTCATAATTGTCTAGCTTGAAGGCCATACAGTCAGACCAAGATGAGACCTGTTGTCCTCCAGGGATGTGAGCAGAGTCCCAGACAGGGAACCACTGGCACATATGGGAATCACACAAAGTTAAATATATACAGACAGAATTTATTGAAAACATACTGTATTTCAGACATTTTTCTAAATATTTTTAATTTCTTAAATTATTATACATAGAAATATCATATTAATATTCAACATAATAACACAATAATACAATGGACAGTCGTTACCTGGGGGAAGGCGGAAGCAAAATGCTTTCTACCAGTAATAATAACCACAAAAAAAGAACTTAAATTTAAAATCATTTTATTATACCTAAAACCCCATTCTACTAATTTTAAATACTAGTTCTTAAATTTTAGATAATCTGGCAATTCTGTTTAACTTCTGTAGTTATTTTCTACCCTTCTTTGCTCTGCTTTGTTACTGCAGAAAGCTAATTTATATTGGCTTCTTCAATAGCCTCCCCTGTCCTCTGGTTTTTTTAGACAAGGTGAACATCAGCAAGAAACTGGAGGATGGAAAGACTGATGTCACTGTGTATGGCCCCTAAGTCACAGGGTGGCAGAGGCTGCATGCCTCCACTGAAGGTCAGTGCTAAAGACCCTCTCTTATCTCTCTCATTCCAGTGACCACTCAGTCCCCTTCCCTATTCAGGGAATGGTTTCCTATTATTAGCCTAAGATTTCCTATCATTCCACCCTTCTCTGATGGTTTCCCTAGCGCCTGATCATTCTCTTGGGAACATCTGTCTTTTCATTGATTCACAAATTTTCCCCACTTGAGTGTCTCAGGACTTTACTGTCAGGCTACTGACTAATAAGAATCTTTGGTAGCAGGAATGGCCCAAGGCTCCAGGAAGCTCACATGGAAGGACATTGGGATAGCCTCCTTACTAGGTAGTCAATGAAACTCAGAAGCCTTGACAGGTGCTGGCAAGATAAATGATTACTCAAATTGTCACTGCTGGTGTATGGAATGAAGTGTGAAACAGGTAAGGTTTGGGAAGGTGTGGTATTTACATATAATATAGCAACAGTAGTATGTAGAGGGAGGCTGGTAAAGTGACAAGGCTAACTCTAATGGCCCTAATGGACATGCAAATGTGAAAGAACCCCTTGAATGCTTAAGTCAAAACAGGTGAAACATCAAGAAGTTTCTCTGTCAGCTTTAAAGATCCTTTATTGACCTAAGTTTCAGAATAAATGAAGCTGAAAACCAACTCTTCTCAAATCTGATTTGAAGTGTTATGGAATTGCACTGCTGAATAAAATGGGCAATATCAAAACTACTATTTCTTGGCTATGGGACAATGACAAGGAAGACATAATGCATCTATGAGTGAATTACAGATGTTAGTGAAACCATCAGAAAACTGAAAGATGTGGGGACGATAACTTACATTATATACCTATTTAAACTGTTCAGCTAATGCACTAGCTAGATGGATCTGTGGATGAATGCAGACTTAATCACATCTTAATGCCAACTGCAAATGCACTTCTAACTAGAGAATCTTTACTGGAGCTTATTTTATCATCCCTAATCTCAGGTATGAAACAACTAACTTGATTTCTTTTTTTTTAATTTTTTTTTTTTGTAGACAGCATACCTTTATTTTTATTTGTTTATTTTTATGTGGTGCTGAGGATCAAACGCAGAGCCTTACATATGCTAGGCAAGCACTCTGCCACAGAGCTACAGCCCCAGCCCCAAACCTGATTTCTTTTTAAAACAATTCCTATCAACAAAGATAATCAGAAGCAGTTTGCCTTCACAATGCAGGGACAACATGCTTTCATTATCTTATCTTAAGGCTAGGCCAGCTCTCCTCTCCTTGTTATAATATAGTCTGGAGAAATCTTGTTCATCTTAACATACCATGAAACATCAAGCTGGACTATTACGTTCATAACATTAGACAGATTGGACTTGATGAGCAGGAAATAGTAAACACTCAAGATCTTCCAGAAGATAATTAATAGAGGACAGGGGATAAACTCAATGAAAGTTCAGGGACTCTGCACATTGATGACATGTTGTGGATCCAGTGGTCCAGGAGTGTTGAAATAGATCTTCAATACAAAGAGATAAATTGCTTTATCTTGAATCTTCAATTATGAAGATCAAGGAACAAAACATCATGGCCTCTTTGGGTTGTGGAAGAAGCAGACAGCACTTGTTGGTATGCTGTTCTAATGCTGGTACTAAGTACTCCCCAAGGCTGTCAGGTTTGAGAGAAGTCTGGGCAAGGAAAGGACCTGAAGCATACCTGGCCATGAGGAAATCTACCTTATACCCTTGGTTATAGGCCTAGCAGATGTAGTGATTTTTGGAAATGTCGGTGGCAAGCAGAGATGCTGTATGACATCTCTGTCAATGGAAGCCTCAGAGTGCAGATCCCTAATAGTTTTGTATTAAAGAAATATGATCTTCTACCAATAACCATCCTTCACTTAAAAGCAGCTCTGAACTTGTTACTGGATTCCAGTTAACACACAGAAATAGCATACAGAACTCCAAATAACTGGGTGGCCCAAACTACACATCATGAACTAGGTGTTATCTGATTAAACATATCATAAAATAAGAGTTATATAACATTGTTAAAAGAAGCTGGAACCAAGCAGGTTTGGGAAGGCCAAACATTCTGCTTGAGCAAATTTCTCAAGTATCTATGATAACTGCTACTTCTACTACTTAATATGTCCACTTCAGACCATATCTATCAACTTACAAGGTGTTCTCCATGACCAGTGAATGGAGAATGTAACAGTGGGAATATAGTTTGGAAATTAATTGCATGGTATTTGGTACCACTGATGATACTCTATTTTCAAGTCCATTTTAGAGGTTAGCCCTAAAATACAGTGATGAAAGCATATCCCCCAGCTGTGAGAGTTTCTACAAGTACATCTGACTGTACGCTGGGTGGAAGAAGAGAGGGCTGAAGCAATGATATATGCTATGAAAATATACCTAAAGACTTCAAGGAACAAAAATGGAAAATTGATGATAGACATTCTAGGGGAGAGTTATGTGGATATATCTTTCAGTATTGGTATAAAATGTGATAACATGGTGTTGTGGTTTGAATCTGGGATGTTCTCCAAAATTCTCATGCATTGAAATCACGGTTCACAGATGGGGATTTTAGGCAATGATTGTATCATTAAGACTCTGACCTCATCAGTGGTAAATCCACTTGATGAATTAATGTATTGTTAGAAGAATGGACTACTGGATGGTAACTGTATGAAGACAGGGCATGAAAGTAGGTTACTAGGGGTGTGGCCTAGGGACTATGTCTCTTCCCCGCCTCTCTCTCTGCTTCCTGGCTGTCATGAACTGAATAGCATTCTTCTGGTATATCTTTCTGCTATGATGTTCTATCTCACCTTGGCCCTGAGCAGTGGAGTCAGCCAACTATGGCCTGAGACCTCTGTAACTGTGAGCCAAAATAAACTTTTCCTCCTCTAATATGGTCTTCTTTTGTATTGTGGTCATAGCAAGGAAAAGCTGACTAACATATATGATGTTCTATATTAACTCCTTCTTGAGGGCATTCACTGAAAAGGGCTTTAGTAATCAGGATCAAGTAACTTATATGGATGTCAGTCCAACTGTTTATCTTACCACCCTAGCCCTTGCTTAATGGGCCCATGCACAAAGCGATAATGGGAGAAGGTATAGAAACTGTGCATGGATTCACGTGCATAGATTTTCCCCTCTCAATAACTGATTAAACTAGTATCAATGCTGACCTCACAATTTTCAAATTTCTGGCTTGAGAGTATTATATATTAATTTTCCACTTTTAACTTCTTAGTTAGGGCAATTCATACTAAAAGTCAAATGAGATTCATTCAGATTTCTGATAGTTCTTTCTACTTTATGTACTTACATTCTGGCATTTTTAGAAATAATCAAACATTCTGGATTTTTAAATCATTTATAAAAAGAGAAAAGTTTCAGATAGAGTCCAATGACTATAGTTTGGAAGTTAAAGAAACAAGAAAATGAAATATTACTCTAATGGCCAATTTTCTAATGAGTATAATGTTTTCCAATTCAAAAATAACAATATGTGATTATTTTCCACAGAGGTCCCAGCCTAGCACTGTATCAGTCAAAAAACCCCACAGCTTTCACCTCCTGTACAGGAACTTCAGAATGTAGTTATTAATTTACTAGATCTTTAATTATCTGGGACTACCCATAATTTCTGCATTAATAATTATAAAATTATAAATCAGAAAAATGACAGCTATTTATAATTACAATATTCTGAAATTAACAAACTCAGTTAATGGTACTCCTTTCTGCTAAGTCTATAAGCCTAAAGAAGAAGGGCCATATATGCATCCTGCAAGTTATTAGTTATTTAATGTACACAAACAGATATACTGTTTGGATGGACTATTCATAGCTACACACCAAAGATGAACATTACTCAGGATTATTCTGTAATACACTCTTGAAATTTTGTATTTTATCATTCTTCTCAAACACTTGGAGACACTTACCAGAGTGGGTCCTGAGGTGTCCTGTGAGGGCGTCCCTTCTTCTACAAGCGTAGCTACAGAAAGGACATTTGAACGGCTTCTCTCCAGAGTGTAACTTTATGTGTCTCAGAAGGTTGCCCTTCTGAGTAAAAGAAGCTCCACACTGGTTACAGTGGAAGGGACGTTCACCTGAAGAAAGAAGAAGTCAGAAAAATCAAGTAAGTAATGTGCAAGTAACAGCCAATTCTCTCTAATCATGATACTCTTAAGTCTTCTAAATACGTATTTTCTAGGATTTGCTTTGAACATAACAAAGTCTCAGGCTTTGGGTCAAGTGGTCATTTCCCCTCTTCATATAAATCTGACTAGATTCCTGTTATTGACTTCAAAAGAGTAACAATAACAGTATTTACCAACAGCTGAACAACTAGGTGCCATCACTTTACTGCCCTAGTGGTTGCTTTACATATAGTATTTCAATCCTCACAATGACATTTATAATTAGGTATTAATAATTTCAATTCATAAATGAAGAAATTGAAATGCATGAATCAAAGTATATGATTATAGTTATAGATCTAATAAGAATACATGCTGAGAACCAAACCTGGTCAGTTTGGATACAAAACCTAATTATTTTACCATGCTTTCTTTAAAATTCACAGAAATTATGGGTTGGAAAGTACTGTGAGTCTCACTCCCTCTTTCAGGTAATAGGGAGATAGAGGCCATAATGAATGAACCAAATTACAAAGTTCATTACCACAGAATCAAATCTTTTGATTCTGCTGGTCAGTAACAGTAAAACCATTCAATTTCCTGGCATCTCAGGGAAAATCCAAAAATATGAAAATTATTCATCCAGACCTTTCTTGTGTATTCTCTTTATTTTACGAAAATCCTATGTTTGACAGGTATCTTCTTTCACTTTTTCTGTCATTGATATTGCTATAAAATTGTTTAAACCTGAATTATTAGTTTACTCTCTTGCCACCAAATGGCTGTCACCAGTGTCATCAAATATAAAAACATTAAGGTAATGGAGCAGTGAAATTGGCAAGTAGGATCAAACTAACTATAAAATTACAAAGAAAATACTATAATTTTAAGATTGCCTATCTCTAAAGATAGATAAGAAATAAATTATAAATTAATACCTAAGTAAATAAGTAAAAAGTAAAAAGGGATCATTCTAAAGCTCAAAGCTTTGAAAAAAATTTAAAACAATTCCTTTTGGTTGAACTGAACCATTTCTGTACTTGAGATTAGATGATTATAATTTCAGCATTTTAAAAAATCCATTTAATGGTGTGTTTCATATATCTTTAGCTGAAATATCTGTAATAATAGTGGTGTCGGGTGGCTAACACCTGTAATACCAGCTACTCCAGAGGCTGAGGCAGGAGGATCACACATTCAAGGACAACCTGGGCTACTGTATCAAGATTTTAAAAAATGGACTGGGAATATAACTCAGTGGTAGAGTACCTTGCCTAGCAAACACAAACCCTGGGTTTAATTCCTAGTACAGTGCAAATACACACAAAAAAGCAAAAATAATAGTGAGTCATAAAACCTCAATACATATTTTTGGTCCTTGGGCATATATTGGTAAATTCAGGGATTTTTTTAATTAAAGAAAACTAGGACACATGAAGAAGATTTGGCAGCAGCCAGTGCAAATTCTATCACTGAGTTTTGTTAAAAAGAATAAATAAATTTTTAAGGCATATCTTATAATCTATTGTACTTATAATAGAAAATAATGAGGTATGTGTGTGGTGGGGACTAAAGTTCTCTCTTTAAAAATTAGGAGCCCTTAGAGCTAAGTTTCAAAAAATTCATGTTAAAATTATCCTAAATTTTGTATTATTTAACTAGCTTGATTTAGTTGGTAAAATCTAAAACCTCTCATATGGAGTTTTACGAAATAGTCAAAGTTTTAAAATCTCATTTTTTTGCAGATTTTTTTATTTATATACATATAATACAACTTAACTTCTTTTATTATTTTCCCTCCAATGAAATAATGGATCACACCCTTTAAAAACCATAATTATCTACTCCCCACCTCTGCCACAGAATTCATAAAAAAGGACAGACTGAGGTACTGCTCTCACAAATTAACTTTTTGAAAAAAGAAGAAAAATTATACTTTTTACTTCAAAAATTTGATGTTACTTTTGGAATCTATCTATGTAAGATTTCCTAAGCAAGTAGCTAATTAGTATGCAATAACTTTGAAAATTAATTAAATTAGTAGAAAAAAAATTGAAATCACGTTTGCCTTTGGAAAATACTTCATCAGTAACATGTTGACTTAGATTTTCCCTGAACCACCTATATTCTTTGAATTAAAATATTTAAAAGTCCTTAATTTAGTTAATTCACTATTCAAAGTAATGCTACTCTAAAAAAGAAACAACAGTTTAACAACAGGATAACCCTTTTTTTAAAGAATTTTTAAATTCACCTAATTTTTATGAGGCAAACAACAGGGTAATTTAGTTTTTACATTTACAAATACTCCAGATGTCTTTGAAAATTTTAAAACTACAAAACTACTACTTCTGAATTCATACTATCAGTCTCAAAGAGGGTAGGAGAAATGTAAGCAGGTCTGGATATGTCTTAGAATACTGCCATGTTGTTAAGCTGTGGAGGCCTCTGGTAAGTTCCATGCTCAGAAGATATATAAAGAACAAGGCTCCACGAAAATAACCAGTCAGGCTGTTTTTTTTTTTTTTTTTTTAATAGAAGACAAGGCACTGATAGCAATGTACCAAAGTTGTACACTGTTTGAATGTACCAAAGTTGTAATGTGTCAACCAGAAAAGGCTTTGAGAAATAACTGATTTCAATTATGAATAAGTCTTGATTGAGCTTTTTACTTTTGGATATCAATCATAGGGCTTTTCTCATTTTAAGGTGAAATCTACTTAACAACATTTAATGTCTTAATTATATGAAAAACACACTTTCAATTTTCAGTTATTCACTGAAATATGTAAATACAAATAAAAGAATGAGTTTGTAATTTTATTATGGAATAAATTATATTTTAATAGTTTATATGCTTTCATAAATATATATTGTAAAATTATTGTTTATATGTTTAATCGAAATGCAAGTATAATCCAAATACATCAATTTGCTTTGGCAAATCAAAGACAGGATATTCTTGTGTTGGATAGAACCACCACTTACAAATATGTGCAATCCTAAGCACCTTTTGAGAAGGTTTTAGAGCAAGAAAATTGCTCCATGGTACTACAATGTATAAAATTGAGTGCTGAAAACTTAGTTACAATGATGGGAGTACTCTAATCCAAAAGTGGAATCTTCTACATAATATTCTATACAATATAGATCTTCTATATAATATTCTCACTAATTCACACTCATGGCATGAATTGATTTACTACCACTACTTGTTTTTTTCTTTCTATACTCCCAGTGAAGAGTGCCTGGAGTATCCGATGACAATATTACCTGATTAGGTACTAAAGTAGCAATGCCAAAAAAATTAAACCAAGTCATTAATAAAACAATGGAATTGGCACTTTAGTAGAATATGAAAGAGAAAGAAGAAGAAGTGAAGTAGATCTGATACTCCATGTCACTGTAATAAATTGGAAGGTTGGACACCTTCTTTCACTGTTAGTTTTATATTAGATATTCTATGACCTAAAAGACACTCAAAAATCTGTTTTCCAGCAGTTTTATAGGGGTTTAAGACAGTGCCTTTTACATTAATTACAAATAATTGTTAAGAGTAGGAAGTTCTAAAATTAAGACACTAGTTCAAAATATTACAGAGAAAACAAGGTTAATGACTAGATTCTGATTCAATCTTTCTTAATTTAGTTTAAATTAAAGAAACACAAATAGACCTTCTGTCTTTAAACAGTACTAAAATGGAACTGAAATGTCATGACCCACTCATAGAAGTAAACTGGGTCATTAGAAACATGTATTAAAAGAGCTAATTTAAGATATCACATCCAAAATTTCAAAGTCAACAAAGTATGGTAAGTATTCCAAACTCTTCCATGAATGGCTAACATTAACAATCTCCCAGCTCTGAAGAAAGAATAATAATTTGCATAATACTCCAATGTGCATTTATTAATAAAAATGTTCATAGTGTTGCAAGTGTACTTTGGTTTTGTAATCATTCTCCTTGCCTTTATCAGGTAAAGGAGTCTCATATTCCTAGAACCTGTGGAAATCTGAGTAACTGTAAACATGTTTCATCCCAATTAGACCATTTCAGTGCTAAAATGACTTGACCTGACTTCACTACAGGAGTAAATAGCAAACGGATAGTAGAGTAGGTATGCAATGATTGCTATTTTAAAAACTCATGAATATCTCTACAAATACAGTGAAAAATGATATAAATTTTCAAGAAAGTGTATTGTGGTTCTTTGAATTTTCTTAATGAAGAACACACAGTGTTTATTAAAAATGTCACAAATATTATTTTTAGTATACACTTCAGCCTTAAAATTAATACTATATACAATTCAACTACAACGTCATTAGACTGATTTGTAGTTTGTATAATACTGGATAGGAGAAATTATACATTTGAATGAGTTGAGTGTTATCTTCTTCCATATACTCATTCTGATGCCATGAATATATTATAACTTTGTGGAATTAATTTTATGTGGCTACAGTTAGAATTACTATATGAGACTGACAAAAACTAGGTTCATTATTTTATAATCTTTTCCATTTTTTTTCTTATCAAATTGATACCAAGTTTGATCTCTTAACTTTTCCTAAGATACTTTACAGCCTGTTGCCATTTAAAAAGCAAATTAAAAACAAAGCAAAAATGTAACTGGCTGCATGGTTGTGAAAAGTATAATGCTCTAAAGCTGATGATTTTGATTATGATAATACTGGTTTTAATGTATGATTTTCACTGTAATTTAAAAAATCTGCCTTAGATTATAGTCACACTTCATAATCAATTATTGGTATATTAATATACCAAGTACACTGTATTCAAACAAAACTAGTCTGAGAATCTGGGAAACTTTGGTTCTAAACTCAACAATGCCCTTACCTACCAAAGGGATAATGAACAAATCATTTGACTTTCTTCATGTGTGAGATGAGAGGTTTATTAAAAACACTTGATGTAACTTACATATCTCATGATTTCAGAACCCAATTATAAAATTATTTAGAAGTAATGTTTTTAAATACATTATTGTGATTCATCACTTCCACCAAAGCTATAACATTTTATAACTGAGAATAGTAGTTATTAGTATTCTATTGTAGAATACCAGTTTGCATTATAGTGAAAGCTATATTACCTTCAAACCAATTTTTCTATAAACTTGAAACTTCCTATTTACCCCAGTGTCATTCCTGTTTTTTGTGTGACTGTTTCTAAATTTTGGCAAAGAATTTGAAGAGACTGAAATAAGGCCTTCTCATTTGGTTGGTTCATAAAGGATTTTACATCTCTAAAGTGTATATTAAATTAATCTGAGAGCTTTTTCTTTTTAACCCAATTCCATGATTATACATTTCTACTCCATACTGCCACCCTTTGTCATATCTGAATCTACATATCTCCTTTGGGAGTTACAGTCAATATTCATAGGAAAATGGTAACATTCCTGAACTAGGGAAAGTAACTGCTTACTACAGAGACCTGTGGTAGGCAAAGGACTGATGGAAATTCATATTTAAAGGAGTTAAGCAGATAAAGTGAAAACAATTCACCCCTTTATAAATGTATGAGTGCCATTTTGTAGTATAAACTTTTGGCTAGCAAACTATATTACCTGCCCATGGGTATGGTAAAATATGTATAGAAATACAAAAAGATTGAATTACACAATGAAATTCTCCTATACCTTTTGAACCCTTATCATATTATTGCTATATTAAGAACTGTGGAAACTGAATCCCAAACTTCTTTTCTGATATGCTATTCAGATTTGAAGGCTGGAAGTCAAGACCCAGGCTACTCTCTGCTTTTCAGCAATCCAATACTAGCAGAATTCTGAAAAGGTAGTTTCACCATTGCCACCCCTGAATAAAAAGGAAAGAGAATAGATGTCAGGTAATATCAACATCAGATGTCACAGGCAGTCATCAGGTTATTCTTTCAGCTGCTTACCAGTGTGACTCCTTTTATGTACCATAAGCACATTGGGCCCAATGCAAACCATGCCACAGACGTCACATTTCAGTTTACCATTCGGAAGCCGGATTCCTCCCTCGCCTTGAAGCTCCTGGACTTTCCTGTTGTCAGCCACCTCACTGCTCTCAATTAGGGGTTCTTCTAGGCTGCTACCCTCATCATGGCCCCTGATCTCATCTTCACGGCTCAGGGGTTTCCTGTCACATTCTTCATCACTCTGCATTTCTAGCTTTACTGAATTTGCTGCAAATTAAAAAGAAGAAATTTTAAATAATGCTATGTGCTTTCAGCAGTCTCCTTTCTACCCATTGTCATTCTAGTAAGTGGATGCACATGATATATTAAACAGTATACTACCTATCAACAAAGACCATGTTGATGCATATTATGCTCTATGGTATTTTAATGAAACTGTGTCATAAAACCAAAGCTGGCTCAGCAAAGCTTTAGATAAAGAGACTGTCCTTTATTTTTGCCCACATTCATTTAACCCAAATATTTACATATTAACAAGTTATTACATAATTCTAGCATTGGCTTTTGAGTTTGTCACTAAAGCTACTCAGAGTGAGATATATGTATGGAAGACACAAGATTAAATATTGCCAAATTCACTGAGCCATGCCTCCTTTTAATTTAACAATCATCATATTCATATTTTCTACTTCACATCTGAAAACTTGTATAAACCCGCTTCTGAACAGGGCAAGAGAAACAACTCAAGATCTTAATCCAGCAAATGTCTTTCACATACGCAGGCAAATGTCCTAAAATCAAACTAAACACCAATATTCAGTTAAGAGCTGTGTAAATGCAGGTAAGGTTAAGTGCACAGACCTCATATGCTCTGAAGTTACTTTGCCATTATTTCTTCTATGAAAAAAAAAATCTCTATGGAACATACCAGTCTGGAAATCAGCTATTCTATCTCTAATGTATGCACACACAAAAAACAACAAGTGAGAGGAATGGCATAACACACATGTACACACTTGCGACTGTTAAGAAATTCAATGCCCTCTGTTTGCTGTTTTTGGATCATCCCACAGAAAAGTTGGAATTCTATTGGCACAGCCCTCATTCTGGACTGCTGACAGAGTCTTTTCAAAAAGCAGAAGCAATTTATATTAGTTTATATTAAATTTATATTAGATTTTTTTAATCCAGTGATCCTGAAAATTTCTTAAGAAATCACATCAAAGTTACTAAATGAAACAACTTTTCTGGTACTACTTGAACAGAGGAAATATTTTCATAAAAAGAACGGAATTTCTTTTTACTGCAGGTGTTTTCTTGGAGAAACCGCATTGTTTATTTATCATATTTGTCACTACTCATTGGGACAGGGAGTGTGATCAACAGGGCTCTTTCCCTGCTCTCTTTAGAGCACCCCTATTAACTAGTAGCATGGCACAAAGACACTAGCAGAATACTTTCGAATTAATTGATTTACTTAGAGTTAAGTTAATTACTTAACTTCTGAATCTTAGTCTTTCATTTCAAAGAGAAAATGAATTCAGATTACTAAATAAAGTTTGAAATAGTTTATAAAGTAAGAGTGATGATGATCCTTAAATTCTTAAGGAACTCAAATCTTTGTTCTCTATAAAATGGGAATAACAATGGTCTCACTTGCTATGGTTGATATGAGCATTAAATGAGTAAATATACCAAACATATATATCTATTATTTTTCTCTGTACATAAAGAACTGTATTAATTGCATAAGATTTTTGTGCAGATTAATTAACTTTGAGTCCGTAGATTACAATCTCCAAAGGGATATGCATCCTTGCTGGATTCATCTTTTTTTTGGGTTGGGGTGGGGGACGTACTGGGGATTGAACCTAGGAGTGCTTAACCACTGAGCCATATCCCTAGCCCTTTTAATATTTTATTTTATTTTGAGACAGGGTCTTGCTTTATTGCTTAGTGCCTCACTAAGTTGCTGAGGTTGGCTTTGAACTTGTGACCCTCCTGCTTCAGCTTCCCAAACTGATGGGATTACAAGTATGTATCACCACACCTGGCCCTTGGCTGGGCACATCTCTAATTTAGTCAACTATGCTGAGTTTTACTTTATTTAGAAATCAATATGAAATTATTGTTTTTCTAGAATAAGTAGGGACAATATTTCATCTAATTTTATATTTTCACCATGCTTAAAAATTTTGTAGTAAACAGGAGATTGTCAAGCAGAATTCACTGATTTATTTTACTAAACTGATTGTGAGTTTTACTGCCTTAAACTTACTTGTTTTATATGCTTAAGGAATCCATGACATAATAAAAAAAGTGAAATAATATATAGAATTAAAAATGAAAATTAAGTACTTTACTACACAAAAATAACAATTCCTCAATTCCTGTCTCAAAAAGCAGCTATGATCATAATTGTCATACTCAGAAGACTGAATTCATTTTTAAAAAATATTTTTTTAGTTGTAGATGGACACAATATATCTATTTATCTTTTTATGTGGTGCTGAGGATCCAACCCAGTACCTCACACATGTGAGGTAAGCACTCTACCACTGAGCTATAGCCCCAGGCCTAAATCCATTTTTAGATGTAATAGAATTCATTCATCTAAACTATCATTGGAAATTTAAGATTATTTGTCTTCATTACTGACATTCTTATACCTCAATTAACTATCAATGTGAAACTAGTATTTCACTAGTCTATAATTTTTTTTAAGTTGAGTGAAGTTGATCTTCTCTTGTACAATTTAGTTGTTCTTTATTTTTCCCCAAAATTTTTATCAAACGTTTTGGCCATTTTTCTAGGAGGTTATCAGTCTTTACTCACTGAATTTAAACATTCTTTATATACAAGATTAGCATCTCTTAACATGAAAATCCCAAATCCAAAATACTCCCAAATCCAAAACTTTTTGAGCACTAACATGATGCTACAAGTAGAAAATTCCACAACTGACCTCACGTGATAGGTCATTGTCAAAACCAGGCACACTAAAAATAAGTGGATAAAATTACTTTCAGGATATGTGTAAAGTTGTATGTGAAACATAAATAAATTTCACGTTTAGACTTGAGATTCATTCCCCAAATATCTCATTATACATGCAGAAGTATTCGAAAATCCAGAAGATTAATATCAGGAATATTTCTGATCTTAAACATTTTGAATAGGGATTATTGAATCTATAGTAAGGAATTTATTCTTGTGTTTATGATATATTTTGCAAATATTTTATTTTTTTACTCATTACTCATGGGTATTTTATGGCATATAAGCAAATTTCACATGTTGAATTTTTAAAGTTTTCAATTATGTCGTTTGGGTTCCATATCTTGCTACAAGTAGGCTTTTCTACAAAAAAAAAAAAAAAAAAAAAAAAAAAGAATTGTTTTTCTGATAAGGGAGACTTTTCTAATCAATGAAAAATGCTATTGACTATACTATGTAGTGATGTACTTTATTTATAATTGTCATTTAAAAGACAAGTTGAGAATAAATAAAAACATGACTTTATTCAGCATGACTTAATACAAACCTGTGAGCAAACTATCCTACACATTGATTTCAGGTGATGTACTGAAATGTAGAAGCTTCACAGCAATGCCATTAGTTTTGTTTCTGAACTAGCCAGAGTTTGATAAGCTACAATTAATGAGCATAAAATTTACTTGGGTTCCATTTCAGAACTGAAGAAATAAATACATAAAAGCTTTTAAGTTTAAAACTACAGGCCTCTCAAATTTCAAAACAGCACAAAATTATGAGACTGTGACTTGACCTTACATTCTCTCTTTCCCTATTGAGAATATTATAAGAACAGGAAACAGACATGTATTAAAATGTCATTTTAAAAATTAATACATATAAAAAATACAGTTAGAATCTGCTATTCCTTGAGGAATATACTGGATGGAACCACTGTATTTAAAATAAATGTTTTTGGGTTTTTTTGCTGGAACTTTTTCCTGTACTTTAGGAATTATATATTTATCTAATTTATTATATGTTTTACCTTCTATTATTAAATATTATCTTCTATTAATATATTTCCTGTCCCAATATAGTAAATCAATAAATTATAACACATTGCAATATACATATCATAGATTATATTTTTCAAAAACTGGCAGTCGATATATAAACAAAAATCTCATAATAATTAATTTCCTTAAATATTTTTTTTAGTTGCAGTTGGACACAGTACCTTTATTTTATTTATTTATTTTTATGTGGTGCTGAGGATCGAACCCAGAGCCTCCCATGTGCTAGAAAAGCACTCTACCGTGGAGCCACAACCCTAAACCACATGGTAATTAATTTTTAACCCAGCTCTCTGAAATTAGGTTGAAATTCTAAGATAAAAAGCAACTAATTAAATAAATTAGTCTTTGAATCTTAACTCTCCCATGATTTACTTTTACTATTGAAGAGAACCTAATTTAAATCATTAATGTTTAAATTCAAGTGTGTAGCATATTAAGCAAACCTTAAATTATAATTTATATATTAATAAAAGAGTTGTATTGTGACTATTTTTAGCTATAATACGTGAAGCTATTACAGCTCTTAATCATCACACAATAATATTCACAGTACTCTAGGTTTCAAGTCTTTAAAATTGAATTTTTAATCTTCATTATATGGAATTTTGTTTACAATTTGGTAATAGGAAAATATTCTCATAAATGAGTGATTTAATTCTCTTATTTATGTGGGAGAATGTATGAGCGAAATGAAATCTTGACATTAGAAATCTCAAAACAAAGAACAATTTTACAAGCTGTTCCTCTAATCTGAAATGAAGGACATAAAACTCAAGCATATCTGTGGGTATTTATACACATTAATATATACTGACAAGCAATGATGCCTTGACAAAAATAGCATTTTGTCAGAACAAATTATTAGCAACGCTGAAGTTTATATATAAGAAGCTTTGAGTGTATTTCATGATAAGAAGTTCCTCGAGTATTTGGGGGCGGAAAAAAGCACCATAATGTAAAGATTTTAGTTAACTGATCAATTTGCTCTGTTATTCAACACTGTAGTCACCAAAAAGTAAACTTCGAAGATATCTGAATATTTTCAATGAAGAAAAGAAAGAATTTTTGTTTTCTTAAAAAGGAGATGATATTGTCTACATTTAAAAACAAAAGTCCAATTTTAAGTTGTTATTGATTAAGAAAAAGTTACTTTGTACACAGGCAATCAGTCATTGATGATAATGATGTTTCTTATACTTTCATTGTAAAAGCCCT